TCTTAAGCCAATGAGTCGCGTCTGAGCGCCGCTCAGAGTATCAAAAATGCCGACACTTTCGCCCCATTTCTCTAACAAACGGTTCACTTCTTTACACTTAGAAGACGTCTTCGGCGTCGCCTTTGAGACCATCACTGACTGACCACTCGATGAACACTTGGATTGCGTTTCCATTGTTTCCATTGTTTGCAATTCATACCAATCAGTGCTTCGTTTGGCCTCTCGTTTGGCCTCACGTTTGCGAACAAACTCTTCACCCATTCTAGCGATGAAAACCCGTTAATCTTTGCCCTAAGCCCTCAACTCATTCCTATCCTTACCTCTGATTAGCCATAAAGAAGTGGTTGTCATCTGAAGAGCCACTGCTGTCGTCATCACTTGCATTGAGTCCATTGGCGTTCACTTCGATGTCATTGTCTCTGAAATCGACACAATCTTCAAACTCATGGCACAACTCATTGATGCCATTGTCGACAGTCAGAGAGTGGTCTTCACAGTCGTCACCATTTGGTTCACTCTTCTTATCGAAGAGTTTATGGACTAAAGAATGAGACAAAAAGTGGTTAAAAGAGTGGACGAAATGCAAAGACAATCAAACGCTTACTTTTATCCCTAAATCCTGTCATAAAATTCATTTGTATTTCAATTCAAGCTTTGAATGAATGAAAAATCGGATTCAAAGAAGCGATGGATTAACGGATTAAGGGATTAATGGCTTAAAGTTCAGTGAATTTGATCTCAAAATGCAATCAATGTTTGCCTCAAATTCTGGACACAAAAGGACTGAAGAATCGAATGAATGAATGAATGCTTCAATGCTTTCAACGCTAAACACAATTCAAATGAAATACAGTTTGTGTTAACAATACTCTCATCGCGAGAGCTATTGAAGCCATTCATAGCCAAGAAGTCTAAAACTTCTAACTTTTATCACATTTTGTTTTACAGTTAAACGAAACGAAACTTACATTTCAAGAGATTTACGGTTCAAATGACTAATGAATACAAATTACGGATTGAATTAAGGATTGAATGCACCGTTAGTTTAGTGTTAAGAAATTTTAGACAAATATTTCTCGAGTTTTCAACAATTAATTAATTTTGAATTTAAATTCAATCAATCATTCATTCATTCAAACAGTTTATCAGTTATTCAACAGTTTTTCCTTTCATTTTTGGATTCGTTGCAGACTTTTAAGACTCAAAGAAGATATCCAGAGGAATGAAATCTCGACTAAAACCTCAGAACGTGTTGTCATTTCCTTCAGTGAATCCCGAAGAACAAGAGTTGGCGGTAGTGTTGGCCCTCTTGTGTCCCAAACACAAGAAGATTGCGATCAGTTGTACGACAGAAGCGAAGAATAAGCGCTTCCTTTGGTTGCCTTTCGTTTCGGGAAATCTCAACGAAACTCAAGATTTCGTGGATTTGATTGAAAGAGGAATTGAAGTGATTTTCAGCGCAAAAGTGGATTCAAATGCAGACAACAGTCCATCGCTTGGAAGCACTGAAATACAGATCAGATCCGAAGGACCGGCCGTTGAAAGAGTGGTTCAACTGATTATCATCGATGACTCCGTCAAGTGTTGCCAAAACAAAGACCGAATCCAATGGATGTCTGCGAAGGAAATAAAGGCAGAAATAGACAAAGGAATCAATGGTTGTCTTTGGGGTCCAGAAGTTCTTCGAGTGTTTCATTTGGCGGTCAAACACTTCAATCAGATCTCAGAGAAGAGGGAAGACTTGGAGTTGGACTCAGACTACTATTCGGGGTATTATTTGCACGAAAAGAGTGACAGATATTCAGTGAAGACTCCGTTTTCCAAAGAAGACAATCAATTGTTGTCTGAAGTGAACATCACTGGAGAACAGATCCAAATACTTCAGACACTGTTTTACACGCATTGCTTCCCGAGTATAGGAATGTCCGGCCAATCATTGTTCGAGTTTTTGGCAAATTTGGGCATAAATTGGGACAAAGAAGAGAAGGAAAACCTCTTTAAGGCATTCAATACAAGCAATACTGGATTCATAGGATTCGACGAACTGGTGGTCGGATTGGCAGCAATGGAACCGCTCACAGATCTCAAGCCATTGGTGTCAAGGAATCGCTTTGTATTCAACAACTTCTGCGACAGAAAAGACAAACTCTTGAAGACTTCTTCTGTGAGGAAAATGTTGACAAAAGTGAACACAAAAGACACTGAAATGGAGAAGAAATTGAATGAATTGATGAGTGATTCGCAAAATGGCATCACTTTTGAGAAATTCAATACTAAAGTGGTTTCAAATGTGTTCAACAGTTTGTGTCGTTCGCCAAACAATGTCTTCTCGGCGTTGAAAACAGATCCCGAAGACGCTTACGACTCACTCTTCAAAGACATCGTCACAGAAATGGTCACCACTTCTGCCGACAAAGACATCCCAAGAGTTGAACACAAAGTGAATCCCATTTCCTATGAGTTGTCTAAAGATGGGATCACTTCTTCGGGCCTTAAATTCAATGAATGTAAGACTCAGTGAAGGAATGAATGAATGATTTGTAGACTTGTTTTCATTCCCTAATTGTGTTTCAGTTGAAGACAAGTCTTTGGAAGAGAAGGAGAAGAAAGCAATGGATCCCAAATCAGTGGCCAATGTCTTCATCCAAGAGATCATTAGGTTTAGCAAAAGTGGAGCCAAAGGAACAGTAGATAAACCGAAAGGTCTCATGGAATCAGATCCTCAAAGATTGGAACAAATGCTAAAAAGTTTGTGCGAAGACGTGAAGAAAATACTGATGAGTGAAAGCCATTGTCTGTCGATTACATCACCGGTGGTAGTGGTCGGGGATATACACGGGAATATTGAAGACCTGCTGACAATCGAGAACACGTTGTCCATCTCAAGGCTGATCCCGACCTCGAAGTAGATGGAATCACTTCTTCGGGCCTTAAGTTCAATGAATGTAAGACTCAGTGAATGAATGGTTTGTAGACTTGTTTTCATTCCCTAATTGTGTTTCAGTTGAAGACAAGTCTTTGGAAGAGAAGGAGAGGAAAGCAAGAGATCCGAAATCAGTGGCCAATGTCTTCATCCAAGAGATCATCAAATTTAGCAAAACTGGAGCCAAAGGAACAGTAGATCAACCGAAAGGTCTCATGGAATCAGATCCGCAAAGATTGGAACAAATGCTAAAAAGTTTGTGCGAAGAAGTGACGAAACTACTTAAGAGTGAAAGCCATTGTCTGTCGATTACATCACCGGTGGTAGTGGTCGGGGATATTCACGGAAACATTGAAGACCTGTTGACCATTGAGAACACATTGTCCATCTCTAGACTGATCCCGACCTCGAAGTGAGTGAAAGCCATTGTCTGTCGATTACATCACCGGTGGTAGTGGTCGGGGATATACACGGAAACATTGAAGACCTGTTGACCATTGAGAACACATTGTCCATCTCTAGACTGATCCCGACCTCGATGTATCTCTATTTAGGCGATTATGTGGATCGCGGGAAGTGGTCCGTCGAGTGCGCTATTTATCTCTTGTCTCTGAAAGTACTGTCGCCTCAAAACATACATCTCTTGCGCGGCAATCATGAGGTCCGAGAGCTTCAAGAGTTCTTCACATTCAAAGAGGAATGCACTGCGAAATACGGGCCACAGAATCGCGTCTATCATCTGCTGAACGACGTGTTTGACTGCCTGTCGGTGTCGGCCGTTGTGGACGACACCATCTTCTGCTGTCACGGAGGCATACCGTCCAGCGTTCACACCATTCGTGAGATACAAGCGATTCCGAAGCCATTGAGAGATCCGTCGGCTGTTGAGTGTCTGCCCGCACACGAGCTCTTGTGGAACGACCCGAGCACTCAAGAGTCATATGAGGCCACCATTGAATTGGTCGGACATAACC